AGCTGACTAACATAGGGGTGCAGAGCATGGCTTTTTCCTGGGGGTGGTAATGGTTATGGTGCTGACACTGAAGAGAATTCTTGAGTTCTGCACTTTTTTCAAATACATAGGCACCCTGACTCCATTCAGCAGGTTAACAAAAAGTACACAGCTTCAATCTTATCAGAATTTATGTCCTTGCAAGTTATTTCCTCAAGTATATTTGCCATCGGTATCTGCTATCTTTCCTTAGATAACAGTGCAAATATGAGAAGAATCAAGGGAAAATGGACAGGCAATGAGCAGTGGATTAGAAGGAAGAGATGTGATGGGAGAGGAGAAATAGGACTGAGGAACGTGGGACAAGTAGGGGAGGAATTGTGCCAGACACTGTGTGTTTAACAAAGGTCTGGTATGTGCTGTGCAACAGTGCTAGACTGAGGGGGAGCTGAGTTAAGCATGTTGCTCCCTAAAGAGGATAGAGACGCACATCTAGCACTTAACTGTTTTCTTACATGACATTGTCTTATTACGTTGTCTTTTTTAATTTTTGTAAAAATATAGGAGATAAATCCTCAGGTTAATTTGATCAAGGCCACATAGCCAGTAACTAGCAAAGATAAACTAAGCTTAGCTCTTTAAAATCCAACAGCCTACATCATTTTTGCTCCGCTATCCTGACTTTCAGAGAAGTTTTCTAAATGTTTAAGATTTAACCCTTTGAAGAATATTCAAAAATTGAAGGTACATTTACAAACATTTTAATCATTTTATATAGAAATATTCCCCCTCTCTAAACAAATAATATAAAATAAGAAAAAAAAAACCCTCCAAATAAAGAAGGGTAAAAGTAAAAAGTCCTCACTCTGCATTTTAGTCTCTAGAATCCAGAAGAACCACTTTTGACAATTTGTTGTACAACCCGTTACCTTCTCCTATGCTATTTTAATATATTAACCATATTTTTTTTATATTAACCATATTATGTACATAAACTTTGACGTTTGTATTTTTCAGACTAGTAATATACATATAATTATATTCTTTACCAGCACATATAGATCTAATATTTTAGTGGTTGTATGAAAATTTAGTCAGTGGATAAACACATTTTTCTATCAACATTTAGCTTGCTTCTGATTTTTGACTGTTATAAACAAGGCTGATATGAATTACTGAAATACTATTTTTTTTTTTTTTTTTTGTCTTTTTCCTTTTTATCAGTACCGGGGATTGAACTCACGATTGCCTGCTTGCAAGGAAGGTGCTTATGCCGCTGATCTAAATCCCCAGTCCCCAAATACTTTTATATAAGTATAAAATACATACTTTTATTCCAGCAGAATACATTTTATATGCATACTTTGATTCCTGCAGAATGTTTCTCAGAGTGAGTTTATTCTCTAAGAGAATAAGCCCTTTATTTTTCAATAGATACTTCAGAAATTTATGTTGTCTAAAACAGTGACAGCCCCATGCCACACCATAAATCTTTCCAGAAGAGGAAAATTTCAATCTGAAAAATTTAGGTAAGAAAAGCCGCTCAGGTGGTTTGAACTTGACATTCCTTTGATTACCACAGGAAGAAGACAAGACCTTGTTGAGAGGCAGATATGTGGGGTTTCCCAAAGTCATTCACCCAGGTTAGTGACTCATGTCACCACACACTAATTTCAGAGCACATGCAAATTTGGACCCCACCAGAGTGCTCACATTTTCATTCATTTCTGAATACCTCCTTTGAGCCAGGCATTGGTCCAGAGAGTAGGGGTACAGTAGAAAGCACAAAGAGAAGGTCTCTGTACTCCTGGAACGTATACTTTTGATAGACTAGTCAAAGTAAACAAGTAAACAGATGAAATACTTTCTATCATGGATAATATATCTTATAATGATGCTCAAAACTACTAGAGCATTGTATATTAAATCTTATGACTGCACAGTAAGGAACTGGACAGATATATGTCCTCAAATGGCCTGATGGCTTCTCTTGGTTGTTTCAAATTTTAATTCAAGCCCTAAATCTAAGTTGTCATCCTTCTGTACAAACCTGAGCTCTCCCACCCACCTTAGTGAATGGACAAGATGGAACAACAGGGCTCATCCTTGGAATCACTTTCCCCCTTACCCTGCCTACACAGTCTGTCATTGAACTGGATTTATCTGTCTCCTAAACAAGTTGGGGTTTCTCTCTTTATCCATCTTTGCAACCATTCCAGTGCAAGCTACCATTACTGCCAACCTGCACACCGCGTTAACCAAACTAATCAGTTCTCCTCCATGTGAGTTCTACCTGCTGGTCATGTTTTTTTTTTTTTTTTTTTTTTTTTTTTTTTTTTAATTTTATTTAAGGAGGAAAAAAAACAGAGAAAGGGTACAAGTTATACAGATTTACAGAAAAAAATAAACAGTAGGAAATCACTAGTTAATGGATTACATATTGTCATCTTAAAATAATTGTTCAAGTCACAAAATTATAGCATGTAAAGTGGACATTCTAACAGTGAGACTACAAACAGTTCTGTTCAATGATCCAATAAAACTCAGTGATATCATTTTCTATCTTATACTGGTCATCTCTCAATTCTTCCTCTTGGAAGGTATACTGTTATAATAATGAAAAGCTTCCCAGCAGTCATCTCACTGTTCAGTTTCTTAGCCACAGGCAAAGGAAGAGTTACTCTCTTTAAGATTAGCTTCAAACAATCCTATGTGGAACCAAGTCACAAGCAGCATTATCTCCATGGCTAATATGCATGAATCTCTCCCTTACTGTGCAAGCACTGTACAAAGTGCATTCAAACCTTATTTTTTGAGACAGGGTCTTGCCATGTAGTTTGGACAGTCTTGAACTACACTGTAGCCCAGGTTGGCTGGGAATTCAAAGTGATCCTCCTGCCTCAGCCTCCCAAGTGCTAGAATTACAGGCGTGCACCATCACATGTGGCTAAAACCTTCATTTTAATTAAGCTTCACTAAACCTTATGACATATGTACTTTATCACCCCTATTTACTGGAGGCTTTGAACCGTAATGTTGCCCAGAGTTGCACAAATACTTCTGATACAAATCCATGTTAAATAGCTGGATGCAGCTTTATTCACGTCTGCACATATGCAGGGAAAGTATCTGCTAAAATAGCAATGTCCCCCTGTAGGTGTTGGAGTTAAACAGTTAAAATTTCAATTTATCTGTGAAATGAAACTGATGGTCACTTAAGACTTTTTCGCTTTTGGTACCCACTGGTTCTAAAACCTGTCACATAGGCAGGTTTCCATTCAAGGACTGCCAAGCAAAAACCAGAGTCAGTATCACTATGCTACTCCAGTGTTCCTGCTGCCAACATGGTGTGACTGCTGCATAGACACGGGGAGCCATGCTTTCCACAGGCCCTGTCCAGCTGCCCACTGTAAGAACATAATCTTTGAATCTTTGGTTATAATCACTATATTTGAAAAAGGTTCAATGTTCAACATTCTTCATAAAAGTTCGGCAGTTTTTTAGAACATTACGCTGTTGGTTTAAGAATTGGAATTGATAACCAAGGAGGATTTTAATCTGTAAGGTTTCTTTTTTAAATTTATTGATCCATATAATTGCTGTCTTTGAAATCTTAATTTTACAGATGGGGTAACCCCAGGACAGAGGTGACAGCAAATTCTGTTTTTCTGAAAACACAGATCAAATAGCTCCAGAAATTTCTGGCTGCTGTAAAATTTGAGATGAAAATGCAAAGCAAACCCTGCAAAGCTGTGGGAGTTTTCTGAATGTGCATTCACAGTTTAAGATGGCTGCTGTGGTGGAATTTGACGGACTCAAATTTAGGTGACATTAAGTCCACTTCCTAGTGCACTGTGAGTATCTGACATCTAGTATTGTTGCTTTCAGATGATTAACAGGTCCTCTGTCCCGCAAAAAGTCTCATAAGGCCTCGGGACTACTAATTTTCCAGGTTTCTTATCCTTTTACGATCCTCCCTTTTATTCTTAGCATTAAGCTTGAGTGACTGTAGAATCCTACCTGAGCAAGATTTGGTTTCACCTGAGCAATTCTCAGGTCCTCTCAATCTTATAAAAGAAAACTGTGCCTCCATCTTCATATTACCTTTTTCCCTTAAAAAACATTCAAGACTCAGATTGGTCTGCAAGCAAACTCCAAGCTGACCTTAAAGATAAAGAGGGCAGCTACTCATAAAAGGGTGGAGAAAAAGTAAAATGAAATAAAACAGGGTGGAACCACCAAGGAAACTCATAATTCTTGTTTGCAGAGTCACTCCAGCACCCTAATTTGCAAAGGATTGAAAGTGCCTGCACGTTTTGTCACTTACTGTCCTTTTCTGCCTTGTGTCACTCACACAGATACGCCAAGACACACACAGAACTGTGACAGAGAGCAGAGGGGTTGGTGTGGTGGCTAAAAGCTTAATGCTGGTGCCACAGGTAATTGGGCACCTAAGGGAAAACTATGATCAAGAGGCAGAGCAAAGGAAGTGGGTGGGTACAAAGAGAGTAGAAAAGTGACCCAACACGAGGCCCACGTCGGGGTCCTGTAACACAGACTCTGAACCCTGTCAACTGTCCCTTTGCTCACGACCCAGAACCTCCCAGGAAGGAAACAAATTCACTCTGGGCCGGTATGGTTGTCACTATTTTAGAACCTAAAAGCAAGTATCAGATGAAAAAGAAAAATAGGAATATCACGAATAATGCTTTTGCCTCGCTTTAGAGATCAAGAAACGCCCACTGACTGTTGGAGGGGGGGTCCAAAGGTACTGGATTTCTTTCTTTCTTGCACCTGTTGCAGAAGGGCCCGTCTGGACTTACAAAAAGAGGAAAACAACAGGTCCCACAGGCAGAAACTCGATTCAGTCCCCGGACCTGCTGGTGCCCTAGCAAGTGCCACCGCCACCGAAGCTCAGCCCAGGCCGCCACTGCTCTGCCGGTGACCAGCTCTGCAAGGCCAGACAACAATGGCTCCCTGTCTCCTTGGGCCCAGGTGGGTCCCATCTTTCCGCGGCTCACCTCCTGGGAGCCAGGTGAGGAGCAGCAGCCACGGCGCGGGCAGCTCCGGGCCCATGCCGACCTCGGTCCGGCCCCTTTCAGCTCAGGGGCTGTGGGCCATGGTGTCTTTTCCCATCAGCCGCCGCCGCTGGACGCCACTCTCAGGGACCCTGGGTTTTCCCGTCCCGGCGGGCGGCGCAGCGCCACAGCCGGCCGCCGCGCTCTCCCGCAGGTGCACCCGCCCCTCCGCACCTGCGGCGCCCGCGGGGCCCTAACCCCGCCCCGCCCCGCCCCCGCCCCCGGGCTTCCTGCCCCGCCCCCGCCCCACCCGCAGCGCGGCCACCTGAGCCTCCCCCAGGGCTGCCGGGCGAGTCCTTTCCTGCTGGCCGCACGAAAAAGTTGCAGGTTTTTTTCCCCCCCAAACTTCCTGGGCCCTCTCACCCTTGCAAATTTCTCCTCCTCTGTAGAATTCTGTGCATATAAGCTTGTAGGATGTATTTCTGTCCCTCTTTTTGCCTTTTTTGGGCGGCGGGGGGAGGGGTAAAAACACACTCATGAAGCTTATATGTATAGTATCTGTTCAGGTTTTCTACAAATGAATGATTCTAGAAAATAGGATAGGACCCGGAGGTACAAATTTAATTGTCCACACTTATAAACATTAATAGACACTCATTACAGAAAAATACAAGTCTCCCATCTCCCACAGGTAGCCAGAGTTACTATTAGTAAATCTTTTTTGTTTTCCCCATCCTGCATTGTCCCTCAGCAGCCCCTTGCAGAGTGGGCCCCTCCAGGGTCAAGGGCTTGACCTCTGACCTTAGAAAGACAGCTCGTCTCTGCACCAGGACACTTAGGTCACCCAGTTTCTTCTATAGTGGGAACCTGAGGCAGAAGGAGAGGGTAACAGGAGGCTGGTATACCTGTCTTCAGAAGGCCAAGAAAGGACATTAACTTGGGAAATCCGCACTGTGCTGGACAATGCAAACAGTCATTGTATCCACATACAGCATCTCTTATCAGGGATTTTTTTAATTGACTCTACTCTCCCTTCTGTAATGAACACCCTCCTCTCCTCAGGCATCACCTTTCTCTTGAAGAGTAGAAGTTTAAAGATGCACTCACTGAACATAGTTCAGGAGGCTTTCATCCTGTCCTGGAACTTCAGGGTCACTATTATTTTTCCTAAGCACCCTTCCCGCCCTAACGTGCTGTGAAGGGTCCTTTTCACCAGTGCTGCTGGCAACCATTATTTCTGCTCCCCCCAGAGGAAAATGCTTGTCTTGGATCTGGGCTACACTCTCAATCAGCCCTTCTTTCCTTTGAGCTCTGGTTTCCCCAGTGGGCCATTTCACATTAAATGTTTTTCTTGTAGTCTCTTCTCTTCCAGAAAATAGGAAGTAAATTCAAGAAGTGTATGGCCAGAGGCAGGTGACAAAGTAGTGTAGGAGCCTTTCCAGTGATTTTCCCTGGTGGAACCCCAGCACCACAGCCGCAGGAGGCAACAGTCTCACTGGAAACTCTCCAAAGACCCTGCATGTGCTCCGGTGGCCTCCTGACAGTCTATGACCATAAGGGATTCCTGTGGCTTCTGACTTTGTGAACTGTCCCCAGCAATGCCAATCTAAAAAGTATAAGCCCTCTCCTCACGTTCCTCCCATGCCCCTTAGCCCTAGCTTTTGGTCCTCCCTGAAGCAATCATTTCTCTGTGCTTGTTCCATGGAACAGTAGTCAAGGGATTTTAATAGGTGGCATATTTTTAAAAAGACTCTAAGATCAAATCTATTTGAGAAGGCCAGATTAAACTAAATCAAAGTTTTACAAGACTGATTAAGTCCTCAGGGAGCAACTATACATTTGAGGCTCCGGGGAAATATGGCATGCACCATCATCCAGAGTTATTCACCTGCAAAAGTCTTTTTGTCTCATATACATTTTAAGGCACATATTTCATAGAGCACATGTTGGGAAATTCTGGTGGTGTGAACCCAACATAAGTGGTAGTGGGGGATAAATTAGAAACCTTTGTAGAAACAAACAAAAAATACTTTAATAAAGATTATTGCATAAATGTAATTATAATAAAGTTTTCCTTATTTTCTCTTGGGAATTACACATTTAGTTTAATACTTTTGTAGTGATTAATTTTATATCTGTTTTCCGCCTGCTACAGGCATCTTTTTTATTTACTTTTGCTATGTACTTTGTATTAAGCATTGTTCTTAATGTTTTACATTAAAGTTGTTACATCAAAGTTGTTACATCAAGAGTTGTATAACATAGCAACTTTTATTATCAACCTCATTTTATGCATGTGGAAACAGAGATCCAAAGAAATAACAAAGTCACAGAGCAAGTAAATGGTGGCGCAGTGAGACGGTGATGCAGTCAGATTCCATACTTTATGCTTTTAGCTGTTGTACCATAGACTGTCACCTGCTATGTCTCAGCCTGTATTTATAGCTGTGTGACTCAATCAGTGTGGACTAAGGCAGTTTTCCTCCCCCACACACAAGTCATTTAGCTTTATACAAACAAAAACCCAATTCCAAGCTCTGGGCTGTCCCAGGCCTGTCGTTGTTTAGTCACGTGCTATTGGTTCAATGAAAATGAGGTAAAAGTACATATTTTTCTCAGCAAAATAAACAGTTCTTTCATTGCTAAATATAAAAGTCACTGGGCCTGCTGATAGTGAGAGACAGCTATGCTCCTATACAAAGTAACAATAATAGTTACCATTTATTAACAGTTACATGGTGTTAGGCAGTGTTCTAAGCATTTTTTTTTTTTTTTTGGTATGGATCTTCTCAACAAGTCTATGAGGCACTAACTACCCTCATCTCTACTTTACAGATGAGAAACTTGGGATACCCAGATTTACTCAATTTATAAATAGCAGAAATGAGATTCAAATTCAGGCAATTCATTCTCGGAGCATATACTTTTAATCACTATCATATTTGTGCTGTGCTTTTGTGTTGACTGATTACAGAGTACTAAGCTGTAATCTCATCCCTTATAATCATACTTTGTAGTTGGAACTACGTCCATGAATCTTTCCAAATACTGTATGCTTTCTAAATACTGAGTATGTATGTGCCCATGAATTCAAGATATAATGTAGCACTTGCTCATTTCTAAGAATAGAAATTATTTGTTGAGCCAGAAGAAAGAAAATGAAGAATAATGTAAGTAAAAAGCACACACCAGGAGACAGGGCTGAAGGCAAGTACGAAATGCTAGAAGATTTGAACTAGGCTTTAGGCATCTTTATATGGCCATCTTCGACCATAAGATCTGCTATGACAAATATTTGTTTAGCTCTTTATCAATAGTTCCTGTAGGAAGTGATATCTGGTCCAGATTTGAAAATAAATAAAACTTTGCCATAGTGAACTTTGCCAAGCAGAAAGACCAGTATGTATAAAAATCACAGCCCCAGGGAGTAGCAAACCCAGACAATAAGTACTTCGGTTTTGCTAGATTAGTTTGTTAGAGAGCTTGCAGGGGTGAATAATGGCCTGCATATGACTAGCTGGACATCTAAGACTTTATAGAGTGGAAAACGGGGAGCTAAAAAAGCATTTTAAGTTGATGAAGCAAGATCAGAACCATTTTAAAAGATAAATGTGGCAGCGGGGAGAAGAATGGTGGGCAGGTATTGAGATCTAAACAAGGGGGTCTATTTAGGAAACTTGGGGGAGAGGAGAAGGGCAGAACCAAAGTATCTCTAAGTTTGACCTCCTTTAGAGAAGACTTTTTTTTTTTGTATTTTTACCGGTACCAGGGATCAAACTCACGACCCACAGTTGCAAGACAGGCGCTTATGTGCTGAGCTAAATCCCTAGCCCCCAGAGAAGACTCTTGCTGGGATCCAATCATTCTAAGCAGAGATCTGTGTTTTGCTGAAGTCACGAAGCCAAGGAACTTTCACCTCCCATGCAACACTTCAGAATACAATTCTATCAATCTCTTTTCTTTTCTTTTCCTTTCCCTTTTCTCTTTTTCAGTACTGAGAACTGAACCAAGAACTTTGCACTGAGATACACATCCCCAGTCTTTATCTCCTCCTCTCCTCCCCCTCCCCCTCCCCTCCCCCTCCCCTCCCCCTCCCCCTCCTCCTCTCCTCCTCCTCCTCATCATCATCATCTTCATCATCATCATCTTCATCATCATCATCATCTTGTTTTGCTAAATCACTAAATTGCCAAGATTGGGCTCAAATTTGAATTCTCTTGCCTCAGCCTCCTGGAATTCTGGTATCCCAGGTGAATGTCACCATGTCCAAATGGAGCGCTGCTTTCCTAGGTGCTGTAGTTTGGATCTTCAATGCCCCCAAAGGCTTGGTCACTGCAGTGGCAGAGGGAATTGGTGGGGCCCGAGTCACTGCGGGAGGAGGAGGTCACTGAGTCACTGGGGGTGTGCCTTCAAAGGAGAGAGTAGCACTCTGCCTCTTCCTCTTTCTCTTTCTCACTTCTGTTCTGAGGAGGGTGATTTGTTCCACCCTGTGCTTCTGCCAGGATGTCCTGTGTCTCCACAGGCCGTGAGGTCAATCTGTGATGGATTGAAATCACAAAACTCTGAGTCAAAAATCAGTCTTTCCTCTTTTTGATTCATCTCAGCTGGGTTTTTTTAGTCATGGAAAACTATGCTGGAGCCACAAGAAAGAGATCCCAGTCTTCAGATTATATCAACAAAGGCCTAGACGCTGTCTGTTGGCAGCCCACCCTAGACAATGTGAAGTTCATAACATGGGGAGGGCAAACAGAAACAGTACTACTCATCTGAACGCTTTTCCCCTTCAATGTCATTGGCATGTGTTTCCTACCACTCTCTGTGCATCCTCTTCTTGACTGAAATGCGAGGGACTGTGATTAGCAGATATGAATTCCTCCTGCTGAATCACGCTACTGCTCACTAAAGCCAACCATGGACACACTGGTTTCAATAGGGTCTTTCCCACTATCTCTGTGAACTCATCCCCAGAACAAGGAAATGATAGGGATCCCCCCACCATATGGTGCTTGTTGACTTCCTAACCAACCCCACATTGCTGATTAGACTCAGGGGTTTTTTAATAAGAAGGGCTTAGTCCCTGAACATTTTAGTAGAACATTTGTAGAACATGTTTAGTAGAACATTCAGTAGAATATTCAGTTATTCCAGCCCACCCCAGACAATCTGATTGAGTCTATGGAGAGACCCTGCAAACAGTTATTTTTTTTAAAATGGTGATTCTAATGTCCACT